CTCCTTTTCTCTCTCTCCCCTTCCCTTTCTCTCTCCCCCATTCTCTCTCTCTCTCTCTCTCCTTCTCTCTCTCTTTCTCTCTCTCCCCTTCTCTCCTGCTTTTCTCTCCCTTCTCTCTCCCCTTTCTCTTTCTTGCTCTCTTTCTCTCTCTTTTTCCCTCTCTCTCTCTTTCTCCCGCCCTCTCTCTCTCTCCCAAAATGTAGCTGCTGGCCAGCCAACCACTTTGTGACCCAGTTCTCGGTCCTTCATAAGATGTTCTCCACGGAGGACCATCATCCTTTGTGTCCCAAGGCTGTTTGCCACAATGGCGTGTAAGAGCTCAAATCCATGGACTCCGTAGCTCTCGGACTCACTCTTTAACCTAGAGTGGGTCGAAAAGGCCTCTTTCCTCACGTGATCCATCCTTTGATTTCCTGCGTTCACGTACGTTACATGTATGAAGTCTGCGGCTGCACGGTTAAGCACTTTTCCCTCCCAGCCAAGCACCTTCCAAAGTATCGGCTCACGCTCGATTTTCAAAATCCGATATTTTGAAAGGAAAGAAGAGGCCCTAAGCTCCTGCATATTTTTTTTTTTCATTTCCTAGAAGCAGAGAATTTGAAGTTAATGCAAACTTTGTAGATGTTCTCTTAATATGCCAATGTATTCCTTTCATTAACTGAGTTCGCCGGAAACGGTTGAGCAGCAGCATAGAAATCAAATTCTCTGTTTATTACTAAAGAGGTAACTTTTTTTATACAGACTAGTTTGATAAAACACATTGTAATTCTGAAACCTTTTACTAAATATTGCCTTCCGCGGAGGGTAGGGAATTCTCTCAATAAATTATTGCTCCTTCAGTCATGCAGTCGTTGAAAAACCTAAAACCAGGGTTCTTGTAGTAACAGATCATCTACGTATAATGTTGGCATTTTCACAAAAGCAACCTATAAACGGTTCTCCAAATATCTAACGGATGACACCTGTTTTTTATTCAGCTGACTTTTGCTAACTGTTTCGGGGTTTAAAACTAAGATAAAACTCTTGTGTTTTATTTTTACCGGGGAAAATAAATATTTCCATGCCCCTTTTGCAGTTACTCTATAACCGTGATGGCAAACCTAGGATAAATCAATGTTGCCTGGTGTCATCAATCACCTCCAAGTCTCAAGAAAGGTCAGCTTTTGTTCCCATGGGAAAAGAGAACCACCTAGCCCCATGATGGTGAACCTATGGCACGCGTGCCACAGGTGGCAAGCAGAGCCATTTGTGCGGCCACGCAAGCCCCAGCCAAACTTACCTGCACTGCGCATGTGCGTGTCTCCCAGCTGATTTTCAGCCCATTTGAGGCTGTTTTTGCCCTGCCGGAGGCTCAAGGGAAGCCTCTGCAGCCTTGGGAGGCCGAAAAACGGGCCTTCTGGAAATACCGGAAGTGCTGAAACGGGCTCATTTTCAGCCTCCCGAAGCTGCAGAGGCTTCCCTCGAGCCTCTGGGAGGACAATAAATGGCCTGCCCCGGGATCCAGAGGCCCTCTGTAGGTTGAAAATTGGCACTTCCGGTATTTCTGGAAGGCCCGTTTTTCGGCCTCCCAAAGCTGCAGAGGCTTCCCTCGAGCCTCCGGGAGGGTGAAAACAGCCTCAAACAGGTCAAAAATCAGCTGGGAGGCACATGCATGCACAGTGCAGGTAAAGGGGCAGGGTGGGGATGTCCTGTGCGCATGCGCAGGGGGACGAATTGTGGGTACCAGCATGCACATGCTTTCAGCACACCACAACGAAAAGGTTCACCATCACTACTTTATAATGATGTGGAAATCTCAGTAACTGAAATGGAAATTCTTCAGTCACCACTTTAACGTACTAGTATGGAATCATTTGAAGAGATCTCCAGAATTTCTGATCCCTCTGTTCTCCAGAGAAATGGTTAGGGTGTAAAATGGCCTCTCCTTGTAATAAATCCTAAATCCACCTTAAATAGAGACCCTTAATTGAATTACAGTTACGATAAATCCAAAAGCAGAGGCCAAAGTTAACGATGGCACCCGAAAAAGTGACTTACGACCATTTTTCAAGCTTACGACCATTCCAGCGTCCCCCTGGTCGCCTGATCAAAATTCAGGCGCATGGCCACTCCTTACGACGGTCGCCGTATCCTGGGGTCAGGTGATTCCCTTTTGACCCTTGACCTTCTGACAAGCCAAGTCAACGGGGAAGCCAGATTCATTTAACAACCGTGGCAAGAAAGATCATAAAATGGGAACTTAACAAATATCTCACTTAACAACAGAAACTTTGAGCTCAATTCTGGTTCGTACATTGAGGATCCCCTGTACGGACCATTTGTAGTGAGCACATGGGGATGTTCTTCTGTTACGGAGACTTCTATTTCTCCATAATGACTGATGAATCACCAGCATAGATTTTTTTTTAAACCCTCATTTTTTCCATTCATCTTTTTAATTTTTCATTATTCAAAGAAGATTGCTCACTCTTCAGGTCCCACTGATTCTGAAGCTGATGTCAATATGATTCAACCAGTGAAACAACCAGTTCGGTAAGCGCACGCGTGCTCTACATTTTTAAAAAGCTGATTTTCAACTCAATTTTATCCTCCACTGCAATATGCTCACCGGAACAACCGGATCGCGCGAACCGGTCCAAACCGGTAGAATCGGATGTGATCTATCTGTTATTTCAGTTATTTTTTTGGTGGGTGGGTGGGGAGATGAAGAGCAGGATGAAGAAGAAAAAAACATTCACTATAGTAAGTTGAAATATTAAACACATGTTTTAAAGAGTGATTTACTATCGACATGGCAATATTATAAATGTTAACAGGGTTTGTTGTTTTTTTAAAGCCTTCCAAAAACTATGTAGCTTTCCATTTCTTTAAGATGGCAGACATAACCGTGTCATAATTATTTTTATATCTACTTCATTCTCAGCCACTTCTTAGTGGTCCTTTATTCTTGTTATTTAGAACTAATTCTGTACCCAATATAATTATTGATAGGGTTGACGATTGATAAGGCCAAATGAGGGGGGCTTCCATTACAGACAAGATCACCAAAGGCTCAAATACCAATTGTTACACTAATCTCTATTAATAATATTTATTCTAAAATGCTCTGGGAAGTAAGAAAATTGTCTAAAATGCAACTGCTTTTATAGTAAATGTTACATTTATAAATAAACATTGATTAAAATGGGTGGTGTTTTGGTTTTGTGGCTTTTGGAAGTAATAACAGTAGAGGAATATTTTTTTAATATGCTTTTATTAAGTTTCCATTATTACAACTCAAATATGATTTCAACAGCACTTTTGACATCTATACAGGTTTTTATCTTATATATCTTAACGCATTACATTTACATTTATCTAACATTAGTTAATAGCTTTATCTATAATTATTATTCTTATATTCTTATACTGTATATTCTACATATTTATCATTCGTTTTCTTGAGGTCTCTTACAAGTTAATTTCCTATCTTATTTCTTATTTCTGTGTGTTATCCAGTCATACCATTTGTTCCAAATTAAAAAATATTCACAGTCTTCTTTTTTCAATTTCAATGTAAGTATATTCATTTCAGCACTTTCCGTTATTTTTTGTTGTATCAGTTCTTCACTAGGAATATTAGAAATTTTCCACATTTGTGCGTAGGCTATTCTGGAGGATGTTAAGATATGTAACATTAAATATTTTACTTTTTTGGGGAATTTGGTCATTAATAACTCCTTCGAGAAAAATATCTGGTCTGAGTTCAATTTGATAGCCAGTGATCTCCTGTAGCCAATTTTTGATTTGGATCCAGAATGTCCTGGTCTCGGGGCATAACCACCACATATGGTAAAATGTACCATCAACTTTTTTGCATTTCCAACATTTTGGACTTACATTGAGGTATATTTTTATATATACCCCAGTGCAGGAATATTTTAAATGTATTTTATTTAATCAAGTTTAGCCACTACCCATCTCCCTCACAGTACAAATAAATACATAAATAATAAGCTTATTTTTATTTTATTATTTTACTTATTATTTTGTACAATGACATTACTTGTTATAGGACCTGAGTGTTCCTTAAAGCGCTAGGATGAATTTTTGGAATTTTACATACTCCCGAGTCAAAAGTGTAATCCTCTCTTTTCTGACATTTCCAACTACAGGTAGTCCTGGACTTACGACCACAATTGAGCTCAAAATATCTGTTGTAAAGTGAGGCATTTGTTAAATGATTCTTGCTTCGTTTTACAACCTTCCTTGCCACAGTTGATAAGTGAATCACTGTAGTGCTTAAGCTACTCACATAGTTGTTAGGTGAATCTGGCTTCCCCATTGCTTGTCGGAAGGTCGCAAAACGTGAGTCCGGGACACTGAACTGTCATAAGTACATGTCAGTTGCCAAGCATCTTCATTTTGATGATGTGATCGTGGGAGATGCCATAATGGTTGTAATCAGTGGTGAGATCAGAGGTGGTATTCAGCCGGTTCAGACCAGTTCTGGAGAACTGGTAGCAGACATTGTGAGTAGTTCAGAGAACTGGCAAATCCCATCTCTGACTGGCCCTGGCCCCATCTATTCTCTGCCTCCCGAGTCCCAACTGATTGGCTGGCTCTTCTTTGGTTGCCCTGCCCAGGAGAACGGAGCTGGAAAGCAGGTTAGTGGGGTGGGGAGGGAAGGGGGATTTTGCAGAAACCTTCCCCTGCCATGCCTACCAAGCCACACCCACATAACCGGTAGTAAAAAAATTTGAATCCCACCACTGCGTGGGATGCTGTCAGTTCACACCGGTTCTAGCAAACCGGTAGCTCTGGTGAGCAGTTGACCCCACGCCGTTTCCTGTCCTATATTTCCTTGTTTTTTTCACTCAGCTGATTCACATGGCAATCAGCTGTTTTACTCACCAGCGCTGGCATAGGAGGTAAGTTTTTAAGCTTAAAATGGGTGGTTTTTGAACGCTGCAGCGCAAAGCGGTCTCATAGAAATGGTAGTAAAAGAAATATTGAATCTCACCACTGGTTGTAATTGTGAAAAAATCTTAAGTCACTTTTCAGTGCCATTGTAACTTTGAACAGTCACTAAATGAAGTCAAAGTGATTTTTTTGTTTCTCAAGCTCTCTTCTTTAAAGTATCTTCATGTTTACATTCACTAATCCAGTGATGGCTAAGTGCACTTGTGCGCATGTGCGTGCCTGTACCCATAATGCAATGCATGTGTGAACCCCCTGTGCTCCCTCTATCCCCCTGCGCATGCGTGCACAACCCCTCCGTACTCCTCCCGCTTCCCTGAGCACGCACCCCTGTCCCCCTGTGCTACCCCTGCCTCCTGTGCATGCGCGCATGACTCCCTGTGCTCCTGTCACCCCCTGCGCATATGCGTGCGACCCTCCTGGGCCCCTGCACATGTGCACGCATCTCCCACATGCACCCTGCCCTACCTGCACATGCGTGGCAGATAGGCGAAAATCAGCCGGCTGTCGGGAGGCGCGTGTGCATGTGCAGTGGAACTGAGCTGGGGCGACACTTCGCGTGCTAGCAGAGATGGCTCTGCGTGCCACTTCTGGCATGTGTGCCATAGGTTCACCATCATGGCTCTAATCTAGTGGTGGTATTCTACCGGTTCGGCCCGGTTCTGCCGAGCCGGTAGCAGCGATGACCAATGGAGACTGAACCAGTTCTCTCCACCGCTCCACTGTTGGGCCCACCTGCCCACTTGGGCTCCCATACTCACCTTTATCCTCTGGATTTGAAGCGCAGCTGCTTTGCGCGGCACAGAAGAGTGCCGCTTGGCAGCTGCTGAAGTGACCGGGATCGGGCAGGCTTGCAGGAGGTGAGTTAGAACGCCTCTGCGCCTGCGCAACGTGTGTGTTTGGTGTGTGTTCACGCAAAGTGTCTGCATGCACGCAAAGCGCGCCCACCAAGCCACGCCCACCGAACCAGTGGTAAAAATATTTGAGTCCCACCGCTGTTCTAATCCCTGTTCACTTGTTACTAACAAAAGCTTGACAATTTCAGCATATTTATGTAAGCGGATTTCATGCGTTTTTCCCATCCT